GACCACAAAACCGGCGCGCAGCCCTGCGCCCGAGAAAGGAGCCGGGAGCTGCTGCCCGCAAACGCCGCTGCACTTGCACGGCTGAAGCCGGGGGAACGATGCGTCCCAGTCCTGCACCCCCACCCATCCCCATCCCCATCCCGCACCCCTGTGCATCCCAATCCCAATGCATCTCAATTCCAATCCTGCACCCTGATGCATCCCCATCCTGCACCCCACTGCATCTCCATCCCAATCCTGCATCCCAATGCATCCCACCCTAATCCTGCACCCCGATGCATCCCCATCCTGCATCCCAACTCCAATCTGTGCCCCAATTTATCCCAATCTTGCACCCCAATTTATCCAAACCCGTGCCCCAATTTATCCCAATGCATCCTCATCCTGCACCCTGACGCATCCCAATCCCAACGCATCCCCGTTCCAACTCTGATGCATCCCAACCCTGCACCCTAATAGGTCCCCATCCCAGTCCCGCACCCCAGCGCGCCCCACTCTTCAAGGCAGGATGAACCCCCATGCCCAGAGCACCCTGCTACCCAGGACAAGCTCATCCCGCCTCCCCTCGTGCCCCCGGTACAGAGCACCCCAAATCCTTCCCCCTGTCAGTTCTGCACCCCAAACGCAGCGTCACTCGCTGGGTGACTCGCCCCTAAAGCACACAGCCCGTCCCCAGCCTGAGCCCCAAGGGTTTAATCCGAGAACACATGAGGGGAAACTGAGGTAACACCCATGGGGGGGGGCCTTGCTTTGCTGGGGGTCTGTAGGAACGGGAGCTCAGTCCCAAGGGAAGACCCCAGCTCGGTCCCTGCCCACGTCACCGCGAGCAGCATCTCCCGGGGCAGGAGAGGACAGAGAAAAGTCCTTCAGCCTCAGGGAAACGACACGCGTCCTCGGGATGCGGGGGCCGGGCTCCGACGCAAGGCGGTAATTACAGAGCGCCTGCTCCCCACGGTGCCGGAGCTCGGGGAAAAACGAGGGCAGACGCCAGAACGCGGCTCCTCAGCACGATTCCAGGGATTCCCCAGCTCGCCGCCATTTCAAACGTTGCTCCCATCGCTCGTCTCCGGAGGAGGAGGATGCTCGCCGCCGGCCGAGCACAAACATCACTGGCGTGGATCGGTCCAGGGGCAGGCGAGCGCGGGTCAGGACCTTTCAGCAGGGCGATGCCTTCGGCAGACCGACGCGTGCGGCGAAAAACCACAAAGGGTGCGGGGCGGGAGTCACAGCCTCCAGCCGCGTGAAATCCTGCTCAGGCCACTCACCGTGATTTAGTACAACCTAACGCAGTACCTCAGATCAAGGCAATTCGCATCTTTTTTGCTCTTTCCGCACTGATGGGGTCTGGGAAGTTTTTTGCACGGGGTCTTCTCTCCCGCCAGGAGTTTTTTTTCACCACTCGAGGCGAGATTTTGCAGCCCGCTCGCTGGTACCGGGATTAACGCTCTCGCGGTGTGAATCCTGCCTTGGTGTTTTTAACTCTTTGGGACGGTGCACCAGGGGCCGTGGCGATGCTGGGGGCCAGGCTCGGCCCTTGCGCAGCGGCAGCTGGACCCTGGTTTGTCCTTCGACACCTCACCCTGGCCGTCGAGCTCTACCCACAGCACATTGCAAGCACCACGTGGCATTTCTGAGCTAACGTTTCCAAGCCTTTAACACCTCCAAAAGCCACGTAATTTGGGGAAAGCCAATTTTTTGAAGGCTCCCACGTACCCACCAGTTGCTGGAGGGTCCTGGCACTCTGCTAGGGGAAGGAGCCGGCACCTCCCGCTCTCCTTCGCACCCAGCCAGCCCCAGCCGACCCCCTCGCCTCCCGGGGACGTCCTGCCCCGATGCTCCGGGATGCAAAGCTCCCGTTGGAGCGGTCATTTCCCCCACTTTAAGATGACTCAAACCCTAATTAACTCCCGGACCTTCGCTAAAAGCCGAGGTTAAAAGTTACACCGGTCTCACCCGGAGAGCATCCTGCACGCGTTCCTGGGATTCTTCCCAGCAAAAACGCTAAACGAGGAGGAAACTAATTCTCCTGGGAAGGCGGGAGCTACATAACTCCCTCGCAAATCCCATTACAGGCAGTAAGCTGCCTAGCGGGATGTACTATTTTAGCTGGGCTGGCAGCAGATGCAGGTTTGTTTTCAGGCACGGGGAGGGGGGGTGTGGAATTTTGCTACGGCGAGGTTGCTCGGCGCGCGCTCACCTTTTGCGGGGCGTTGATGACGCCGGTGTTGTAACCGAATTGCAAGGAACCCAGCACCGCTCCTCCCACGGCGAGCATCAGGCGGGCCGTCATCTGCAGGAAAAGGGGGAAGAAAACACAAAAGAGGGGTTAAACCCGGGGCCCCAGCTATGTCCCCCCCATCAGAGAGGTTCCCCCCGTGCCTCTCCCCGGGGAGCCGCAAGAGGAGGAGGGATGCTCATACAGTTGTGAGCATGAATATGCGGGATAAAAGAGAAGACTTGCTTTTTTTTGTGGCATCCGTGTGGGCTAAGGGAAAAAAAATAATTAAAAAAATACTGGTTTGAGCTTAAAAAAAATATACTGTCTGGGGATTCCACGAAATTTTTGCCTCTAGAGCGGGGCAGACGGTTTTATCTGGGCTCGCAGGGTCCCCTCCGAGGGCTCCACGTGACACCCGGGCAGACACCAGCG